GGGGGGGGGGGGATTATTTGAGAAAGGTAGGATTAGGGTTTGGATGCTGCGTGGATTTACAGGCGCTACACCGTAATAACACGCACACTGTTATTATTACATATATGGCTCAACATATCATCCGCAGACATTGGGAACGTTGGAATCTGAACCAACAGTCATAATATCCGCAATTCCCAATTCGATATCACGCACCACGTATACACGCATATTAAATAAGCAAATCGGCTACTTTTTCGTATAATCCATAAACATAACACGGATCATTAAAAAGACCTGCGAAATTGTCATGGTAAACGCGTGCGCTTGTCCGAGCTTATGAAAAAAAAATGAAATTTTTAAAATTTCTCAAAAAAAAATTTTATTTGTTTATTTATTTATAATTAAATGTCTATTAAGGAATTAAATAACAAAATTGTTTAATTAAACAATTCATCGAATTATTTTCAAGCGTAAAACACATTTTAACAACAGGCACGTAATTTCTAATCGGCTCGAGTCTACGATCGGTATATACATATATGTAGTCCTACAATTAGTATATATGCATATATGTAGCCTGTAGACTCAACAGGACAGGTAGGCGTGTTTACTTATGTGACTAACATTCGGTTCATAGGTCATCCATATTGAACGTGCAGTATAGGTAAACTAAGTGCACGTTAAATGTTATATCATAGAATAGGTCCACCGTCGAGAGTTCTTCTTCGTGGCAGAAAATGCTGCTTTTTCAAATTCGAGTAATTTTGCATTTTTAATCCAACGGTGAAAATGGGGAAATATTACTGACGTGTGGATATAGATGGTACATAGGATACGTATGCCTGGTACTATATGCACGTCGTACTTGATTATCGAATATACTACAGTAGAAACGACGCACGTTCCATATGACAACGTCATACTAATGTCCACAATGCGTGTTCGAAATATTAATATATAATTGGCGCTTTGTGATTTACGATTTTTCATGCGGGTCACTCGCCATACTTTTGCGTCAGACTGTTGCTTCGTTATCGACGTTTTTCGCTATCGTACCTACATTCAGGTTGTGATAAATGATTATAAGCCTTGTAAAATTAACATATCTAACTCGGGACGAATGTCTTAATTATTTTAATGAACGCAGATAATTTTTTTTGTAAATTAATGTGGATGAAGATTTTTTTTTTTTTTTTTTTTTGGAAAGTTGCTACGAATACGAAGTCTCGACGCTGCGGAACCCTTATCACTCTTCCATATCATTATCGTCACCTTGTCTCATTAAGTGTCATATCATTAACGAAATCATCGATCGACGTAGAACAGCGAAGATTATTAAGGCTTTCGATATAGAGTTTAGTGGAGAAAAAATTAAAAAAAAAAGAATTAAGCTAGTATTCACGTAAACGGTAGTTCGTTATTAAGGGCCTAATAGATTATTGGATAAATGATGTTTCGTTGTCATGTATCGCTTATGAAATGTAGTCGCAAAGCGATGCTGTACCACCTATATACCTATAGATATATTAAGTTACTCCTCCCTGCCTTCGAAAACGTCTTGGTTGATGATGGACGCGATTGGAAAAAAAAAAAAATCGGGAAAATGTCAAAATTCGATTATCTAAAATTCAAAATTTAAAATTCAAATTTTTGAATTATCAGACAGGGTCCCGATAATTGAAATTCAAAAATCCCGCGTTACAAAACGTACATGACATATACAAAATGCTTGGTGATCTTGACTAATTAATCTACATACGCCTGACCGATCAATTCGATAATCGGAAGTACACCTTTAAGGAAATTGTAAAAAAAAAAAACGAAAAAAGTAAAAGAATGTCACCGGAACAGTTCAAGAATCAGGGCATCCGATGTTCTCGTCGTTCGATATATCAAGTGGCTTTTGTACCTGTTTACGGAACAATGTAATGGAAATGAATAGGAAAAAGAGAAGGAATTACAAATTTTCGCCCTTCGCCGAGAAAGACGTTTTCGAAAGCGCCCACTCAGTGGTCAAGGCAAATACACGTAGAACTGTTAAAAGCGTCACTCCAGCGTTGAGCTTCGAGCAGGAATAATCCTTCCGCAAGACTGTTTAACAGAGAAACAAAGAAAAAAAGAGATACCTACCCGTGGGTCTAACTCTAATACTTGTTACGCTATCTATAAGTTTATATTATATTATTATATAACTCTATCGTAGCAGATTACGAGTATTATACATATTATATTTATACGGGCTGTTATACACTCTCGCATCCACTTCACGAGAGAGGGCAGACGAGCCAAATCGCCTAGAAGCCAAGGGGAAGCCGACGCCTGACGTAGGGGGACGCCCGTGCGACGTCGTAAAAACCGGAAGAGAAATGTTGAGCATGCAGTGACGAAAGGACCAAGTGAAAAGCGTCGATTGATAAGCAGACGTGGAACGTCCGTATTCGTGTCAGCGATAAAAATGATGGCGGAGAGAAGTTCGGAAAGACTAATTCGCCGTTCGGCCACCAGGTGGCGCCACGGTAAAATAATTTTATTGCGAGCACGAACTAGAAAAGGCATAAGCGGGGTCTGGCCCGGACACGTATTTATCTTACGTAAAGGATACAGCGACGAAATGACGACTAATAAGTGTAAATTGCTGTACCACGAGTCATTTGTATCGGACCGATGATAGCGAGGAAGAATAAGTGTCTGAGAAGTTTGAAAAATGAAAAAAATAAGGTCGAATGTCCTAGCAATGTAACTAGGGACATTTCGACGAGGATGTGTCAATAAATCGCAACTTTGAAAAGTGACGTTAACGCCTTTCTTCCCAGGTCGAAGTAAGTCGACCAAAGCGAAGCCGTCGCCCTGACACTCGTTTCTGTTTCATGCTAATACTATTCGATCGAGGCAAAACATTGTGCGTGTGCGGCCGTGAAATCTGGGTAATATCTCGGTTAGAAAATTTTCAAAATTATTAAAGCGGGATTTGAGGTAAAATTGAATAAAATTTTTTTTCGAAAGTTTCCAAATTTTCTTACACCGAAAAGTCTCTTGATTGCTTCTTTTTTTTTTTTTTTCTAACGTAATATTTTACACTTATCGGGCTTTCGCGGCTGCACACTTTCTTAAGACTGTACATCGTTGTTTGGACACGAGCTGTGTTTTTTTTTATTTTTGTTCATTGTTACTAGCTTGTTTTTAATAAACTTGTTTTTTTGTTTGTTAGAATCCCAGCGGAGCTGGAGGCGAATCTGGAGGACGAGCCAATGGGTGAGTTCACACTCCTTTAAGTTCATGTTCGTTTGTTCGTTTCTTATGGTAAAAATTGATAAGAACCGAATGACAACGTATCAGTGCGTTATCAACGCGCACGTTATCAAAATTGACTTTTTCGTATGTTATCCAAATATTAGAGTCTAAAGGTGCGTATTCACTGAACGACCAAAAAATAGAGACGAACTCACTTTATTAGTGTGTACAGGTAAACGAATCCGAAGGATATCCGATTGGCTTATCTTTGATAAGGTAATCCAACGAACTTTTGACAATGAAGTTCTTTGATAAGTAGAATTCAATTAAGGTTCGAGAAAACATTCAAAAATAAATACCACTGTCGACAGCAGACAATACATTGAATTCTATTAAAACTCCGAACGAATATTCAGCCGAGTTCATTCGCTACTCTTTGTTCGTCTTTCATTTGTTCGCTAAGCGAACACGCGCCTTTATACCATACACCGATTTGTTTATGCCGCGAGATGATTTCTAGATAAAAAATTATTTATTTATATTACCTATAACGATAAAGAAACGATCTCTTGAAATATAATGCATTAAATTTTTAATTATGAATCTGGAAATTTGATTATATATTATTTAATAATTTTTTTCGATAAAAATTTAATTGAACATTTCACACAAAATGACGCAACGTCAACCCTTTTCTGGAAGGGAGAAAAAAATTATAAGACTTATTTTCTAATTTAATTAGAAAATCGAAATTGCTTTTATTTTCGATGAAAAAAATATTTTCAGACTGAAGACAAATTTTTTTTTTTTTTCTTACCAAAAAACCTCAAGAAATAAAGCCATGACTCCTCCTGTCTTAACTGTGCGTTTCTGTATACGTATATCAGTGTTCTGGGTACAATTGATTTTTCCATCATTCCGCAACGTCACCTGCCCGCGTTCACGTCTTTGGTAGATGAGACGAATGCTGATAAACTGACAGGTCCATGAGAACGCTATGATGAAGAAAACACAGCATCTGTCTTCGTGATTAGAACGTGGAGCAAAGCGCGACGAAAACGTCCATTTTCGCTATACTCGCTCCCTCCTGGCTCTGCGGAAAAATCTTGTACTAAAAGAGCGGAAGGGTTCCCTAGGGTTTGGTAGGATTGCTCGTGACGTGGAGTTAGCGTGTAGGAACGAAGTACCGTTTTGGAGGCGATTAAGATGAAGGTCCTGTCACACAGGATGATAACCGACCTAGTTCCCATGACAATCTCCTTCTCTCTCTACGGAGCGATAAACGACGAATCGTCACGAAGATTAAGGTTAGTCTTCAGGTGACTGATCGGGTAGTCGTCTCGAAGATTCATGGGGCGAGAAATTATGTTAAAAAAAAAAAAAAATTACAATCGTCTTGAGGCATTAAGGGTGTAAAAAAAAAAAAAAAAAAAAAAAAAAAAATTAAAATGCCGACAGATATTAGTATAGCCAAGTACATACTCCTGGAGAAGGTACTTGGATCGTGGTAGCTCTCGAGGTGCGAGTACACTCGAGAAATGAATAAGGGTGGGTCGCGAGAGGGGGTTGCCGTAGGAAAAGTAATCGATCCATATATTTAAAGTCTAAGAATAAAAAAAATAAAATCGGGATCTTGTCATTCCGTGGGGGTAAGTTTCGACTTAAAAGCTCGGTGGGTTCGGTAAACAAACGGCCGAATCGAGTCTGCAGGGGTGGCTTTTGAGGGTGCCAATCGAAATTGACGATAAGAGTCTTAGGGTGACTCGGTGAGAGGGTTCACTCGTGGAGGGTGGCTCAAGGTGGCTAAAGATGGCCGAGGGTGACTAAGGGTGACCTAGGGGGTGGTCTCACGATAGGGAGATCCTGGAGTGCCGAGGTAGTCTGGGGGTTGATGGGAATGGGTCACGGGAAGGAAGTGGGGTGTAAGAGTGGGCCACTTCAAGTCCGTTCTGATATCTGCAACCATCTAGCACCATTAGCCGCGTATATTTCGTCCCGACACGACACCAACGTACCATACGACTAATTGGACGTGGCTTTAACCGTTTCTCAGTCGGTCCCGTCTGGAAGCTTGGGCCTCGACCCTCGGTGCTACCGGCGGGAGGATAGTAGTACAGTGAAAAAAAAAAATTAGCCCCCGAGACAATCCATCATCAAACTTTCGGTCGATAAAAAAAGGTCTCAAATTGGAAATGTGCAAATTTCAATGGGGTGCAAAAGCTTTAAGGCTAGTTTCAATAGCTCTCGTAATTAACGACGTTAACAAAGCCAAGTTATGGCTTGAATTGGTCATATTTAAAAACTGTAAAAAAAAAAAACATTTTTCAACTCTAGAACAGAGTTGAGAAATTTTGAAAATTTTTTTTTATTTTTCTTTTCTTCTTTAACATTTATATCGAATTTGTCCATTTTTTGGAAATTATGCTCAATCTAGAATTGAGACTGTTTAAATTGAACGGTGAGTTACGTAGTGTCTCTGTCGATTTCGACTTACCACTCAAATTACCTACGAGACGTGTCTACGTGCTTTGATGGATTAATTAACGATGGGCTAATCAAGATCGTTTCGATTTCAGGCATCCCGGCGACAATCCCTTCTACAGCAACATCGACAGCATGCCGGATATTCGGCCACGTCGCAAGTCTATACCCCTGGTCTCCGAGCTGGTAGGTACATGATTACCTATTATTACCTGTGTTATCCGTCATCTATTTACCTGGACCGTCTACGACGTCCGGTTAGCCACCCATCACGATTTACCTTTTAAGGAGCAGCCACACGTAACGTGTGGTGACTGTCTTATGCAGTAGCCATCGCAAAACAAAAGAATGTATATATGTGTGTATATGTGCATCTGTGTGTGCGCCGTCGTGAATGTATCCAAAATTCCAAAAAAAAAAAAAAAAAAAAAAAAAAAAAAAAAAAAAAAAAAAAAAAAAAAAACCCTGCTGAACCAATCAAAATTCAGATTTCTAGGAAAAATTAATTTCCGTTTATACGAATGAGATGAAAATTTTTTTTTTGATCCTCGACACTTCCGGTTTACCATTTTGGGAAATTTAATTTTTTTTGCGACGGCAAATGCATAAGACACGACCTTGTTGGTCTTCCGGTCGTGTCTTATGGCAAATTTCTTTGTCCAGGATATTACGCTCCCCCCCCCACCCGCCCCCCTCGTTCTTCTTA